AATTTGTTTTTTTGGGGTCTGCCCTTGTATATTCACACAATGAAATACTATGCAGTGATGAAAAATAATTATTACTGTTACATATATAAACACAAACGAATCTCAAAAATGTTGAATGTGAAAAATAAAGCTGAAGAAGGATACATGCAGTACGATATTTGAGTGAAGTTTAAAAGCATCTAATACTATGCCTTAGAAAACATATATGTAGAAAAAAGTATAAGTATGGCTATACACTAATAACTAAAATTTATTGAATGCTTATTGTGTGCAAAGCATCATGCTAACAAATGCCAATCTGACTGAACTCACACTAACTCTTAGAAAGAAATGCTATAATATTTCAATTTTCCAGATGAGAAAACTTGAGGCCTCAAGAGGCTAATTACCCAGTGGCATATAGTGGTGCTTTCTTAAGTATTAAAAACCTCATTTAACCCTATGAGATAGGAATTATCACCTTTAATTTCAAGATGAAGGAAAGGGTGCCCCAGGTCACACAGAGATCAAGTGTCTGAGGTACTACTGAACACAGGTTTCTTCTGGTTCCAAAGCCTGAGCTTTCTAACAATATATCGTCACATCCATGAAATAGGGAAATGTAAGCCATAGCACACACACACATGCACGCACACTCCCTGGCTTTGAACTTGAACCAGCTGGAACTGGGGGGAACTGCACAAATTGCTATACCCAAGGCTCCTATTCCATCATGAGTATTGTTTTTAGCTGAACCCTGAACTGAACAGAAGGGAACAGTGCTGAAATTGAAACTGAACTTGTATATTGTTTCAAGCTGTTGGACTAGAATATTTAAATATGCTTGAGACAGAGATAACCACATAGAGAATTCTAACCGCTTCACTCTGCATATTTTGATTTGCCTCAGGTCACATGGTCATGACAGGCCTGAGTGAGTCCTAATTATTATAAAGTAGCTGTAGATGACCTTTTCACTGTTCCTACCCACATGTCCCCTTCCCTTTCCTTCTAGGCCAGGGCAGGGACTCTCCCTACCTTCCTTCAGAGCACACACCCTTGTCAATGTTTGCTGAATGAGGGAAGAAGGGAGCTGGGCCCTGGGAGACACATGCTTCCTACCATACAGGGACAGGGAGCTCTGACCTGAACCCAATTCCTTGGGGGTCCCCGAGCAGATGCTCCATGCCTCTGGCTGAGAAATCGGAACTTTCCGTCCATGCCAGTCATCCTCCGTATCTGAGCAGCTAGACTGGGGTGTCTTGAGATCCAGGTGGCCTTTGTCTCATCTGGACCAGGCCGCACAGTTTGTGGCCCTCCCCCACAGCAAGAGGAGGGACTCTGAGGAGACTTGGGGGCCCCTGGGGAGACGTTCATCTTTCCAGAGCTTTATCATTTTTTCCATAACAGTATCCTTCCTTCAAGGTGGAAAGTCCCAGCTGGCAGTCGAGGACACTCTCAATGCGCTTTTGTTCTCTGCTCTCCTCCCGGCCCAGGACGCAGGGCACAGGACAAAGACACCTTCCCTTTGATACCTGCCTGCTCCAGGCTTGCTGTACCGATGAATGATGCAATAGAGATGAACCCTTACCACCTCGGGGGCTAGACTTCCCTGGTTTGAATTCTGGCTCTGCTACTTGCTGACTGTGCAACCTCGGGAGGGGATTGAATTCTCTATTTTACAGCTTCTCCGGCTGAAAACTGGTGTGGTAATAATATCACCAGTTTTGAGGATTTAATAAATTAGTGTATGAAAAACATTTAGAACAGCACCTGGTACTTAGTAAGAGTGAGGTAACTGCTGTTGTAACATAACCTTGGGCTTGGGCAATTTATCTCCTCTCTCTGGGCCTCAGTTTTACCAACTGTACAATTAAGATAGCAGTTCCTCCCTGCCTCTCGACCACTGATCTGAGTGTAGTCCTTTCTTGCTGGTGGCCTTGGACAAATGTCTTGGGTTCTCTTCGCCTCCATGTACTCATCTGTTAAATGGTACCTAGGCGGGACTCGGTGGCTCAGCCTGTAATCCCGCGCTTTGGGAGGCCGAGGTGAGTGAATTGCCTGAGCCCGCGGGTTCGAGACCCGCCTGGGCAACTTGGCCAGACCTCATCTCTACAAAAAATCAAAAATTAGCCGGGCGTGGTAGCATGCGCCTGTAGTTCCAGCTACCCGGAAGGCTGAGGTGGAAGGATTGCCAGCGCCCAGCAGGTTGAGGCTGCGGTGGCCGGGAGCGGCCATTGCACTCCAGTCTGGGCGACAGAGTGAGACTCCAACTCAAAAAAGAAAAAGGTACTTATTAAGTAGAGGGTCATGGTGACGAATATACCATGCATGTAGCCTGGGGCCAACACTAACACAAAGAAAGAGTTAAAACAAAGTTAGCTATTTTTTTTTGGTTTGTTTTTATAGATGAGAAAAGACTTTCAAACTATGAAGGGCTGTATCCCTGGGAGGGAGCTTGTGGTTTGCTCACATGCTTTCTCAGCCATGCCTATTCACAGACGTTAGGATTGGAAGGGCTGCTTTATAGGTCGGTTGATTAAGTCACTCAACAAATATCTGCTGAGCACGTATTATGCGCCAGGCACTGTTGTAGGTGTTGGGGACAGAGCAGCACTGAGGGCCCTGCCTTCATGGGGCTCTTATTCTTGTGGGAGAGACAGACACAAACATGTGAGCATATAAATATATACTACAAGTTCAGAATCAATCCCTTCATTTTGCAGATGGGGAAACGAAGGTCCAAGAAGAAAAGCGTTTTCTAAGGTCTTCCAGTGTCATAGCCAGGCAGACTCCCAAGCTGGTCTTCAGTCTTAGAATGTCTTATAGCCTTAACAAACCCCAAGGCCTTAATAGATGATAGTGGGAGTCAACATTTATGGAACCTTCCTAGCTAGACACAGGAACTGTCTTAAGTACTTTATACATCTTAAATCATTTAATCCTCATATCAGATCTGAAGGAGAGAACTATCACAAATTCTGTTTTATATATGGAGAAACTAAGGCACAGATGGAGGGGAGCAGAGTTTGAACACAGACTTTCTGCTTCAGAGCCAGGTCTTCAACACACTGCTGTCCTGTCCTGTTCTCTGTATAACTCCCCCACCCCTATCCTGGTCTGGTTCTTCCTTCCTCCTTCCCATCCTGGTCTCATCTATTTCTTCCACATTTTTAGTGGCCTAGGATAAGTCAACACACAGTCTACACATTTGTGAGTTGAAGGGGATTGGAGTGGATTATCCTCAGAGCCTACCCTTACCACCCTAATTTCCGTCCCCTTTTCAGTTTGTAATTATTTTATCCACTTCTTGGTTTTCTAGTCTGCTTCCTTACCTGGCTGTGAGCTACCGGGCAGCGAGTGTCCTCTTGCTCACCTCTCCTGGGGCCTGGCTCTGTGCCTCGAAGGCCCTCAGTAAATATGTGCAGATGAAGAAACGAGGGAGTGGTGGCCACTGTCCTTAGTTTTCTAAAGCCAACTCCGGCGTGCTCTCCGTGGCCCCGCTTCCTTTCCCAGCCCATGCCTCCCCCCTTCCGCCCTCCCTCTCACCTCCCAGGGCCGACTCCCGGCCCTCCATCCGGCCTGCATTTTTCCGAGTTTGATATCATTTTTTCCACTCTCCCGGCTGCTGCCGGCTGCCTCTGCCAACTTTCCACAGCTACAGCCCCTCCCCGCAACTGCAGGCCGGAGACAGCCTGGGGTGGGGGAAGACCTTCCTGTCTTGCTCTCCCCAGGGATGGGGCAATCAGTGCCATCAGTGCCCCACTGGCAAGCTGGGTGGGTGAGGGAGTCGCCGCTGGAGGCTGTATCTCGCGGGTGCCCTGTCTTTCTCTGTGCCCTAACCTGGTGGGGCACGGCCCACGTGCAGGACTGAGGCGTTTGGGTGGGCAGCTGGTTCTGGGCAGAGGTGTCAGGCATGGGATATAGCGCTCCGAATGGTTTGCACCTTGTTGTCTTCTCAAAGCAGTGACAGCCATTCCCTTCCAGTTGCAAGCCCCTGACCTGACCCCGGGCCAGGTAGGATGCCCCACTATCTCCTTAGTCTGGCACAACCAAAGGGAGACCCGGAGGGAAGCCAGACCCGGAGGCCTGGTTCTCACTGGCTGGGTGACCCTGGGGCATTCACTTCCCCTCTTGAGGCTTGGTTTCCACATTCGGAAATTAGTACATTTGATTAAATTGGGGTCCATCCTGGAGATGAACAGATCAAGCTGATGGGAGTTCCTGCCCTCACCCCTTTAACCCTTTAAACTCGTATGCCATTGTGTTAAGTCCATCTCCTGAGATTCTGAAGCATTTTCTAACATCTTTGAAGAAGGTTGTGGATCAATTGGGCATAGATTCTAGTCTGACAAGCCTGCATTGGAATCCCAGCAACTTTTCTTATAGCGGCTGTGTGACCTTGGGCATGAGCCTTCTGTCCTGTGCCTCAGTTTCCTAATTAGTAAAATGGGATTAATGGTGACACTCCCCTCCCATGCGTGTAAAGACTCACGGACAGTTGTGACTGCTTAGTTTACAACCAGCTCCCAGCAAACACTAGCAATTATATTGCCGGGATGAGCGCTGAGAATCCTTCCAGATATTTTGTGAATCTATAATCTAAAAAAATGGGTTAATAAGAGAACAGAAGGCTATCACACCGAACTGTGGTTGCTTGTGATCTACTGCGTCTCTCTCAAAGACCCGGGCCAGATATCCAGTGATGGAGAGAAGTGCCTGAGCACACCATTGATCCAATTACTTTATTGATTGGGCTTGACACCCGGGCAAGCGGGCTAAACCAGCCTGCAGCCGGTGAGGATAGGAGGCAGGAGGTGGAGATGTCTGGAAGAGCCCAAGACGGGCAGAGGTCTGGGCATTCAGACAGGACATCCTTCTAGTCTGGTTTATCGTGGGGGCCTCTTAGAGTCGGCCCGAGTCCAGGCCCCAGGAGGACTTTTGACGAAAGCCACCCACCACATACAAAACCCCCCTTTGGGCCTGTCTTGGGGTTTCGGCCCCAGCCTGTCGGTCGCCTCTCAGGGCAGAGGGGTCCCAGGCTCTGGCTGGGCGATGCCCCGGCCACCAGGCCAGCGGGCAAGCAAGGCCCGCGACGCGGACTCCAGACAGGGGCGCTCTTCTCCTCGGCGGCGTCCGTGGGGCCCGCACTG